AGGGCAACTTCTTTCTCGATCTCGTACATGACACCCAGCATTTTCCCTTACTTGGAGCTTCCGGTGCTAGTGAAGATAGTTGTCATGTTTCGCATTGATCAGATTCCAATTTTCTGCCACCGGTAGAAGAGAACTCTAATCGCCGACAAGATGTGAAACCACGCAGAGGAAACATGCCTTTGCGCTGTTCTTGCACGACTTTCTAGACAAATCGCGATTCATTTCCCCTTGTCCAACGGCCGACCGACGCCTGCCTTTTCAGCCTCGAATAGACTGCGCCGGAACGAAATATTATGCCATCAAGAAACACTCCATTCAACGCCCCTCCCCCACTAGTTCTCACAGTCAGGAAATAACTTGTAACGAATTGCCTGTGCTTCTTTCAGCTACGAAGCACGTACCGTCGTTGTCCCCCTCGGCCTCGGCGATGGCGAGGTCTGCGCGGTGGAGGCGCTTACAGCGACAGCACATGCCAAGCATGCCGAGGAAGGCCAGGAGTCCGAAGAACATGGACAACCCTATCCCCAGCCCCGCCGTCGCGACGCCCACTTCCTGGCCATAGTCTATGTAGTCCTCCTGCTCTAGGTCTGCCGAAACAAAATGAGGGGGAAACGGTACAGCTTTGAAGGCACTATGCGTGGCGTAGGCACTAGTACGATGGCTCGGTCATGTGTTTTGTTATTCGTTTTCTGGGGCGTGGGTAAGTTTGTCGTCTTAGGTTGCGTGTCTGTGCGCTGGTGTGCACTCTGGCCTGTCGGCCACTAAGTTGCACTTGACCGCAACAACAACAACAACAACAACAACAACAACAACAACAATGCGAACCCCGAAGCATCATTGCCACATAGGCTAGCATCGAACAGTTTCGTGCAACATCTCAAACATCTCTCTCACTCTCTGTGTGTCCCTCACCTTCTGCTGGCGTGTCAAAGACGGAGCCTTTGGTTACTGCCAACGTCATCGCCAGGGTAGGAAGACACAGCACCGCAGCCCCGCGACGACCCACCAGGGGTCGTAGACGCATGGGTGCCATTCGCGTCTCCCCTTCCGAAACTGACTCCTTCGCTTTGCAAACATTACAGACGACAAGGGAACACGTAGCTTGGAACACGGCAATCCTCGTGCGATAGGTTAAGAGTACTTGGCAGCTGCAAACTAAACGGCGGACACACACTTCGAGAATCTCGAATGACGGCAGACACGACTCTGTACGCAGGCAGAGTTTATGCCTGGTGCCGTGCCCCATGGCACGGTGTCCCTACCTCGTCGCATTTCCTCGAGGCGTACAGGAGCTAGAAAAAGCGGGTAAATCGGTCATTTGCTTCCCCTTTCGCAGTTGAGGATACTACATCTGTGACAACTTCTGGTGGTTCCAGGGGGAGAAAGGACCGAGCAAGTCCATTTTCTCCCTCTACGCGAGTCGATACCAACAAAGCGATTTTTCGCAGTCCGTTTAATCGAATTTTTCGAAAGAAACGAAGATTAGAACAAGATGGAAAACTCTCAAAGTCGTGAAGCGCCGTACCCCGCGACGAACCTCGTGGAACCCGTGGATAACCAGGGGGAACTGTAGGGAACATTCTGGGTAAACTGTTGAAACGAATCAAACGCGAAATTCGCTGAAAAGCATCGAAGCGATTGCTATTATCGGCATGATTGAAGCACTTCATGTCAACACAACTAATTTCAATATGTCCCGTGAAGTATGCGCCTCTAGTATAAAGTCTCCAGCTCCCTACTGAAGGCCTAACCTTCAGAAGAAGCTGGGCAGCCAGTTACGATGACACAGTGAATGTCACACGTGGCTCGACGTGAGTGACAAATGTATGCTAAAGATATGACGGGAACATCATGCAAGACCTGGCAAGGATCGTGTAGCTTAGCGTGCTTCGCTCCCCCTTCAGCCTCTAAGCCATGTAGTACGTCCTTGCTTTACGTTGGCTGGAGTTTTCTTTTGCGTGGACGACAGGCACGTGTTTCACTATGTTTGCATGAATCAAAACGCCTTGTTGTGGGGTGGAGATAGTGCAGCATGACACAAGCACCTTCTAGTTTTCTATAGGCACCTGCTACTATTTTCCTCAAGTCGTTCAACAGCGCTTTCGGACAGCGAAATCTGGCGTGAGAGGAACCCCCCCCCGATGTAGCCTGCATAGCTGGACCCGAGGGCTCCCGAAGGTGTCGAAGGTTTCTTGCCGCATACTCTGCCACAATAACCCCAATATTTGGAGTGCAAACTACGTACAAAAAGCGTATATTTACGTAGTTTCTTATCGTTTACAACGAGGCTGAGGGTCAGACTTACTGCTACACACGCAGTGGCTCCCTACAAGCCCCCCAGCGAGAATTGCCAGTTGTTTACTTGCGTGGGATTGCTGCGGATATACTTCATCCCCAGGCGGGAAACACATGTGTCCCCACCGACAGAGTTGGTGGTACTTCCCCAGAAGCACATTGTGTGTCTACTTTCGTTTTGTAGGAAGGAGGTGCACATCCAGGCCAGAGGTACGTAAGGCCGTAGCCGATCATTGATTCGTCGTTGTCGCACCACCCCCCTGTAGACTCCCATGTCGAACACTGGTTTGAGGGATTCACCACGGCCTGAAGGAACGTTTTTAAGAGTTTCGCTTTGCTTGTCGGACCTCGGCCATGCTGCAATATACGCACCCGCGAGTGGCTTGCGCTCTCCTCTTCCTTGCCCGAAAAAAATCTAATGGTTTCAGCCTACCTCTGGTTTGTAGCGCAGATGCTGACCGTCTTAATAAACCTTGAAGCGGCGAATGGGTACGCGTGAGCCCACGGTCTCTTTTCCCGCGAAGCTGGAGCCTTTTGTCGGCTGTTGACAAAGTACTTCTTGTGGGCGCAATGGAGCTCGGACGCAGGTACACCAACCAACAGGCGACACCGCGACAGTTTCGTTGCCGCTCAACGGGCTGTTCGATTCCTCCGCGTTTTTAGATGCTCCGCACGCCGAACTCTGCACGGCGCACGTGCTCACTGCGCACGTGACCGCATTCCCCCCACGCTTTCGATGGATCTCCCATCTGAGAGCTAAAATAGCAGCTGAGAATACGATGTTCTGATTACGTGCTTGATTCAGGACGTGCACTTCTTCTCTACCCAGCATTCCCGAACGGGATTTGGATGGAAATACCAACCAGGGTGGGCTGGCTCCACGCGCAACCCTTTTCTTCGAGTTTGTTCATCCTGGCCTCCCAAAACCTGCACCTTTGGCCGCAGCTCACTTGACATGCAACAAAGGACATTTTCCGCCAAGACGCTGTTCTTAGGCCCTGCCACGCCCACGTACGGTCGCTTGGTTCAACCCTGATATATTTGCCAGACCACAACGCGACAGTTGCTGAGAGGTATCATCGTCAAACCTCCTTCCCATGCGTCGTGTAGTCTAGACTAGATCTAAAGACGGAGGTTTTTTTATGTATGTAATCAAATGTATCGTGCGAAGTGTATGTGGAATCGACGAAGTTGGGGTTGGGGTTACGGTAAGAAGGGCTGTAGGGTCACAGAATCAGCGCTGCAAGGCGGTGCCACTGCCACCTTGTTTCATCCGAGGCAGTCTCTTCAACTCCTCGATTTGCATAGATGATAAGGTAGATCAACCAACAGGCATGGTCGGAAGGGCAATCTGCTACGTGTACGACTGAGCCGGAGGCGTTCGTCGCTACACGTCTTGTATGGATAGACTACACCCCATCCAACCGTACGCGCGGCAGCGTTGAATGGCGTAGACGAGAAAGACACTGCGTGCTGCGTGTGACCCTCATGCCAAGTTTGGCCAACTTAAGCACGCATGTGCGAACGCCAGGATCAACATGTGCGACAGGACGTGAGAACGGTTTGGCGATGGTGAGGCGCAGAGGTGTGAGCTTTTGCCTTGGGGGGGGCTAATAACGGTAGTCAACTGCATTCTCTTCATGCATGCGTTGCTAATGAGCTTCTTTATGGGAATGGGAAAGAACACGTGCGCCTGCCGAAAAACTCTTTCATGTGCAAGTGCGCTTGTTTGCGGTAGAGATGGGCGACGCAGCGTAGCAGTCATTAACCCTTCGTTTCGTTTCTCGAGAAACGCGGTCAGGTTCCTCCCAACACCCACCCGCCATTCGGGTGCTTGGCTCTCCACAGCCGCCGGAAGATTTAGAGTAGTGCGGCGTATTCCGTAATCGAAAAGTGGACAAAACAAGTTCGGCAGCAGAGTGGGCGTGAGCGCTGGTGGGCATGAGTGAAAACGATGTGTCGGCAGCGATAGAGAGTACAGACAGTTACGAATGAGCTCGCGGGGTTTCGTGAAAAAGGGGGCAAGAAAAACAGGGCACCATTCGCCAACACGAACCGCGAAACACGGATCATGCTGCTTGGTGTTAGCTCAGCCTGCCAGTCCAGTCATCGAATAGACGAAAGTATCGTCGGTTTTTCAGGAGTCGATTGATTTCTCCACACGCAGGCGCGCCAATATGACCGTGCAGCAGCTCAACAGCACAGTGGATCGCACGTGCCCAGCGCTTCGTGTCTTGTCTACACACTCAACCCCACAACGGTATATCTGGCACCGCTACACTTGTGGGACGCAATTTACAGACTTACCATATTCAAACTCTCTTAAAAGCCAAGTGAGCTGTGCACGACCAGCAAATTCGCTCCCCTCCCCACCCCGCCTCCACGTACCAGGTTCAAATCTTCTTCACGCCATATGAGCAATCAATGACATACTCATGTCCATTTTGTTCGGCTACCCGAGAACGCTATCGTTCCAGTCTTAGTTGCTCTGGAGAGCCCGGAGCACAGCTATTCGCGGACCGCCCACTCATTTCGGCGCGACCTGCTCCGCAGCAGTTTTGACCCATGTCACTCAAACATCGATACTCCTCTAATACACCCATGTACGTCCCCTGCAAGGTTCACCCCACCAAGCGCGCCTGCCGCCAAAATCCACAGATGCGTTGCGCCGACACCCGTCCGACGAGAAGCGCTCCCGAACGTACATGTAACGGGCCCAACAGCGTCCAACATTTGTTAAGCTCTGATGGATACAAACACGTCACCGCTTCCCGTGCGCCCCACCCTGAGGTCCTCGTCGACGTACGTGCTCTCGAAGTAAGGAGTCCGCAGCGAAGAGGCGAGAGGGGACGACTCCTCACCATCCCCGGGGGCAGGGGACGCCTTCTCACCATCCCCGGGGGACGGGGACGCCTCCTCTTTGTCGCACGGCTCCTCCGCCTCCGGCGTTGCGTCTGCGGCCTCGGCCACATCATCCCCGTCACCCGACGAGTTACCCTCGTCGTCGTCCTCCTTCTTCTCCTCGCCGTCCACGGCGTTCTCGAACTTTTTCTCCTTGCCCTTGAGCTTCTCTACCAGCTCCCTGGCCTTCGTCTTGGCGTCCTCGGCCTTCTCCTTCAAGGCCTTCCCGCCGCCGCTGCTGCCGCCTCCTTTGGGAATCAGCTTCTCGAGACTCTCGACGGAAGGGATGTTGACGCCAAGAGTCGGCAGGTCGAGCTCTCTCCCGAAGAGGGAGTTCGCCTGTTCCAAGGCAAGACGGTTGTACACACGCCCGACATAAATTAAGTCCCACGAAAAACAAACATGGGAGAGGGGACAGCAGCGAGGGAGATATGGCTTTCGTCATAGGCAATACTGCTAGGCACGGGGAGTAGAATCCAGCAACGGAGTTATGAGCAAGGACGGAGTTCTTGTTTCGAAGGCGACGCCCACCTTTCGATATCGTTCCCTCCCGCCCGACAACAAGGATTACGGCTGGTTGCTGTTTTCAAACAAACCACGCCGCCTAATATTGCTTGGGGAAACTGACACAAACCTCCGAGCTCCACGGTCTACCGTACGCGCAGCTGTCGACACGTTCGCGTCCGTACACTGAAACCCCGACCGTCTCCACCGGTTATACGACCAACTGCTGCGTGATCAACACCAATGCACACCAGTGTACCCGCCCCTTCGCACTTTCTAGGGCATATAAAAAACACCCTTTGGGGATATTTTCTCTGTATCCTGACTGGGCAAGCTTTTGGCATGCGAGTCTCATCGAGTGGATCTGTATGGCGCATGGGGGATTGGACGTGTAGACAACTAAACGGTCATGACGGCATCATCACTACCAACAACAACAACAGTGAACCTCCCGTTACCTTGATCTCAGTCCTGACGAACTTGAGGTTGATGCGGGAGTCGGAAACCGGCTCTGTTTCAAGTTTAACCTGCATGAGCGGACAGCCGTGACAGAACAACACAACGGCATCAGCAATGGCTCTGTCTAACGTGTATTGTTTTTCTCGTAGCAAACGCTCCTTTCTGCGGGGGATGCAAACGCGATTCCGAAAGCACAGCATTACCCCGCGCCGGTGAAGCGATATGCTGGACCCTAGAAAACTGGTAGCTCTCGTCGTACGCCAATGGCTTCCAGAACCTATCATGCTCTGTCGTAGAAAGCACGCACTAACGAGCAGCCTCATTGCTCCAGACCGGGCCCCAATCCTACATTGAGCACTCCAAGTCACAGGCGTTCCATGCTGCATGGTCCCGCGATTCCTTTGTCGGCTACCACCAGCTACCATCGGTGCGTTTTTCTGCCCCACGCATAGAAGAAACGATAACAGCGCAAAAACCCTTACTGCCACGGCTCCTAGTTTTGAAAAACAAAAAGGAAACCACCTTACCCCTTCAAGATGATGGTCAAAATTAAGATGGGATTGTTGTTACGGGTGGGTGTCATTGTTGTTGTTATTGTCTTCTCGTTAATGACCGATCCGGTCTCCGCTCAGTACCTTCTCATGTCCGTACTGGTCCAACTGACGCGGACGCCTTCCGTGGTCGCAAGCCAGCCGCACCCCAGAAGGGGTACACCTTTCTACAACACAAAAAATTGCGCAAAACGAAAACGTAGTTCTTGCCGTGAGGGTGGTCATGGAGCTCCCGAGGATCTTGTTCACCGCGGCGAAGGGAGGCTGCAGCTCGATGATGTTCTGAATGGACCGTCCGTCGGACTCGATCTGCTGGAAGATCTTCCCCACTGTCACCGCCGGGTTGATCTGGAGGGAGAGCACGTCCAGCGAGGTCGTGTACAGAAGCCTGGCAGGGCAGGGGGACAGTAGTGTGCGAGTGGGGTATTCACATAATTCGCATAGTTAGACTATGGTTGACTGGGGGGCACTTGTGTGTGTGGGGTGTACTCATAGTCGTACATGCCGTAGTGGTTTCACCATTGAGCTCGCATCCCTACAAAGTCGGGACGGAGCACGCCGGGTTCTCACCGGACCCGTGTGTGTGTGGGGGGGGGATCAACTATAATACTGATTCGTCTCATGCCTGTTTTAGACTATTAGTTGTCGTTCGGATGACGATGGTCAACACGCCGCCACCACCTTGTGCCACGCGACGCCAAAACCTGCCAGACCAGCTATCGGAGGCTGCGAAAACAGGCACCCCTATCTCTGCTGTGCCATCGATGGAGAATCAGGGGCCGAAAGAGAAACTCGAGGGACGTGTGGTGGTGACGCATGGGTTGCCGAATGCGGCGACTTTTACGACAACAGCGGCAACGACGATAACAACAGCAGCAACACCACCAACATCAACATCAACAACAACAACAACAACAACAACAACAACAACAGCGGCAGCAACTCACTGCCATCGTCCGGCGAGAGGAGACGACCCCGTCTCGAACCCCTCGCAAGACTTGGGGTTAGGGTTTTCCATCTCCAGCATCTCGATTATCTCTTCCACGTCCAGCCGGTCCGACTCCTCGGCAACGAAGCCCCTGTTGAGGGTAGCGACTGCTTCGTGCGAACCACAAAATCGGAAGAGAAGAGGCAGGGAGGGAAGGAAGAGATAGGGACAGGCAGAGAACAACAGAGGAAGACAGAGGGAGAGAGGCAGAGAGAGAGAGAGAGAGATCGAGAGAGAGATCTATTAAAAGAGAAGACAAACTTTGACATGTTTATAACTGAGTGTGTGTGGTCGCCAAGATGCGGCGGTCGAGAGAGGCATGGCCGCTGATTCCAATCGTTCCATTCTTCGAGCTTGTTCTCGAAACTAATCCGCAATAGAAAACTTGAATGACCCATGTGTTCCAAGCGCTCCTCGGACCGACGATGCCAAAGAGTCGCACCCCCGCGGGCAACGAAAAGCGAGTAAGGCGCCTCTCGCCATGGTTATACCCCTCCGAAAGAAAACAACAAACCAACGAGCCCATACGCACCTTTTCTGAGGAGCTTTTGCTTCAGCGCAGCTCGTGTGGCCGGGTCCCCAACCGCGTCTTCAGTCCCGCCCTCTCTGGCTCCGCCCCCTGCTGCCGCCGGTTCCGAGAGCTCGGCATCCACGGGAACGGCGGCGGGTCCCGGCCCCGATTGTCCGTCGCCGCTGGTCATGAACAGGGGTCCGACGCCTCTGCTCGGCAGCGCCGCCATCGCCGGGCTGCGTGTCGGGTCCGGCATCGAGGGGGACGACGACGCTGGGTACGGCGTTCTCCTCCTCCTGCGGCGCACTGTTCCCTGTTGGGAGGTTGCTCCGAGGAGTGTTGTGGGCGGCCCCGTGGTGGCGGCGGTCGGTGATGTCAGGCGGTGGCTTGTTGCCAGGGATCCCGGTGTCACGAATGCTGTTCGCAGGGGGTGTTAGGCAAGGGGACGCCACCATGAGTAAGTTACGGCGTGGGGGGGATACTCATAGTGGTGCATGCACGCTGTAGAATAAGCCAGGGGGTGGGTGCGAGTATTTCAAGTACACCTTTCACAGCAGTGTATGCACGTTCGCGCGCAAAATAAAGATGGGGGGAGCTGATGCGTCCCTTTAGTTGTTTGTAGGAAATGTTCCGGGGCCAGCACAACTTTGGGTATATTATCTGGTCGATGTTGGTGGCGAGAAAGATAACTTGGGCGAATGCTCATAGTCGTAGTTGTTAGATCTTTGACCTCGCATCCCTAAAAAGCCGGGACGGAGCACGCCGGATTCTCACCGGATCAGTTAAGGGGGGGGGAGGGGGGGACCGCCGGCAGTAGCCTTGGTGAAGATAATGAGCTTGGTTTTAATAGGGGGTACGGTGAGGGGTTAGGGTTAGGGAAAGGGATACGAAACCCCCTTCTCAATTTCATAGATTAGTGACGCCAATTAAACCCTCCCGAAGTCGGTCCATCGGCGAAGGGGGGGAGATGTGTATAAGAGACAGCATTCTGGA